AATAGGAAGCATATGAACAAAAAGCTAAGCACAGTTATATCAGGAACTATGAAAATGCAGTCTTAATAGTCCCACTGAGAAAATCCCATGCTCAAATTACCTATTTCAGTAAAAAAGCATCCAAACAAAGAACAGAAAACCTTGCAAACACTGTAAGGAGAGTTAGTCAGCTTGCCAGCAACAGAAGAGTTTGATTACTGCCTCTCTGATCAGCCAAAACTTGTGTTTCTGTCCCACCTTTCTTCCTATGTACATTCTCTCATTTTCTATTTAAGAATCCAAGCAATATGAGGCAAGGACAACTTCTTCATTTTACCTTTTCTCTTGTGCAAAAGCAAGAACATGAATTCCTACACATGAAAACAATATGAGGAATGACTGCAGAAAACGAACAGTATAATTAAGTATTACTGAATGAAACAAACTTCATTTATGCACATGTATCAGACAGAGAGCAGTAGCATGTGGGAAACGAGGAGTAGGTGTGCTTTCTCTTTCTTTACATTGTATATCTGTGTTGTCAACCACAAGCTAGGTGACAGCTTTAAGTGTTACTGTCCCCTTGTTTCCCTTAATCAAAAAAAACCCCAAACTATTAAGATACAGGGACTATGATGAAGATGAAGAAAGAAAAATTTCAGATGTTTGGAACATGATAGTCCAACATTATAAATGTTATTTATCCTTTTTCCCTTCAAAAATATGTCTTAGGCCATATTCTCAAAACATCACATTAAAAAAGTATTATTTTTTTATGAGTGAACATGTCATTTAAAAAAGTCTGAAATTTTATAAATCAGGCTTTTTCTCCAGTTTTTAAACTGCTCTATGGAAGTTTTTCTATACAGTCTTTAGTTAATCCACAAGTTCTCATACTTCAAATACTTTATGGAATTAATGATGGTAGAATATGGCATAAAAACAATGTGAGCCCATTTACTATATTTGTGCAGTACTGACTGAGGTTCCCTGCCTCCTCTAGTCAGATTTATTCATGCATTCTTCACATACTTCTAACATATTAATAGCCCTTTTAATAAGATTCTACAATCACTGGCAGTAAAATATGATCATCTTATTTGTCTTGTTCACATGAAGAATAAATATCCTTCTCTATTAAAGTTTTATCATCATCAAGATATGATCCTTTCCAATTGCATAAGTATGTGACAAGAAAATGTCATGTGTAGTACTAAAAGATAGTTCACATTTTTTATTTTTAGGCATGATTTTACACGCCTAAAACATGACACTTTCAAGAAATCACATTATTTAATATGCAGAATTTATAATAATCAAGGATAAGAAAGAAATGTGGATACCAGACTCTAAAAGACTAAAAATAAGACAACTTCAATAACGTTTGAAAAATGAAATTAGCACTGGATTTCTGCAGATGACCCCCTGTGGCATCACAGCAACAAAGTTATGCAAAGCTTCACACAACTAAAAGGGCCCTCTGAGGGCACTGCTTACTGATCTCCGGTAGAAAAGGTCACAGGCTATGTTGGAGGGATTTTCAGCGGGGCTAAAAGGCAGGAAACAGTTGGAAGGAATGAAGAAATATTTCCCAGGCAGTTATAAAAATTTTATTGGGTTTGCATGTGAAGCTGTGTAACTGATCTGTTTGTAAAAATGTCCAAGACATAAGCTCAGTAAAACTACGTCATTCTATAGCATTTGCATTTTAGAATGACCATTAGTTACTCAGTAAGATACATATAAGCAGTACTTCATTTAGGTTGCTAAAGAAGAAAATGAAGCGCTGAAACATAAACTTACAAAGTTATTATTCAAAGGGAGAGAAAACAGGATTTAAATGCATTAAAAAAACAGAAAATATTTACTACTGATGAAAATTGAAAGCCCCTTCAAGGGACCTTAATTAGGCATCTTCCTTTTAAGAATGAATATTGTTTCTAGTTTTTGTATTACTCTTAAGATGGCACTCAGGGATTTAGAGGAACACTTATATACAAGAATAAAAATACTTGTGGAAATATTCAGCATTTGGAATAGTGGATAAATTGTGAATTAGGTGTGCACTTGACTCATGTCTCAGATCACACTGCCTTGCAGTGGCATTTTGAAACATTCATCTGGGTACCCTATTTTCACCTTTTCACTGTAAAAGCCTTTCAATTTTCTGAGTAGTAGAACTGCACTGCATATAGCGATGAAAAAAATAGGCATAAATAATTCTTTATACTGGTTTGGTTTTTTGTTGTTTTTTTTTTTTTTTTCCCATAAATGTAGCCAACCGTTCAAAACGATAAACTGACAACAGAAAAGTCTCTCCAGCCAGCAGTCCCCACAGCAGGCTGGTGGTAATCATTCACTTTTCATCATTCCATACTTAGTATGAGAGCTTTGGTACCCTTTTCTAGCTGCACATCCTACTTAAAATCTGAAGTTACGATCTCATCCAGCCTCACTGCTACTTCTCCTTCATATCAGAAAACAGTACTGAAAATGATACCAGTAAAAGCCAGCTCCAGAGCAGGCGAAGCAGGCAGGCAGCAGCCTCAGGCATCTGACAGCTGTTTTTTCTGTATCAGGAAAGAGAAGGTCTGGCTGTGCTTGCCCACCAGTGCTCTTCCAACAGTGTAATTTCTGATTAAACTCTGCTAAGCCCTCTTGGTTGCCTCCACCACTAATCAATAAAAGCAATATTGCTCCTGCCCAAAAAACCTGATTTGGCTCTAACAGAAAAACTGAACTGTAGAAGAAAGCATGTCCCCTTCCACAGGCAGCTTCCTCCATCTTCTTACTGCTTGCTCGTAATTTGCTAATTTCATGCTTGTCTAATTTAATATCCTCCCCCATTGCCTGAAATGAGGTCTTTATCTGTGCTCAAAAGCTAAGTCTCTAAATACTCATAATCATACTGCATGCCAATGTCTCCTAATCACTCTTGCCAGAAATGGAAAGGAGCACAACTCAGAGAAGCACAAGAACTAGGATACTTTTCAGAGCTCTATAATCCTTGCCCCTCAAAGTTACACTGTTTTACAAGTCAGCAGGTCAACAGCACCAGTAACTCCCATTTCTGTGCTTCCAGACTACAGTTCAGGGCATTTCTCAAAAATTCTTCTTCTAAAAATGCATAATTTTTTGCAAACAAATCCATATGACTTTGGTTTGTACAACATGACTTAGATGGAATAGCCCATAATCTGTCTTTCTCCCATATTCAATCAACTCATACCTTTTGAGTCTGAAGTTCATTAAATAAGTTTACAAGCTTGGAGCAGGTCCTAACATTACACCTTCTCCTAGAAACACTTCAGTTGCTCTTGTATTGACTCGATCTTTTCTAGAACTTCCTTTTTACAAAGCTTCCACCTTTACAAGTAGGAAAATCAATTAATCTCTTGGTAATTTTTAGTTGATGCATTTATATACTTCTGACTGATTTTATAACATTTACCTTAACCTGCAGTATGAAATAAGTAAGCCACGAACTGATTGTGAGCCATCCCTATCATGTTTTGTTCACCATATCTGGAAATAGCTAGAGAAAACAAAATTCTTGACATCCTCAGACTACTTTTTGAAAGGAAGAGAAACATGTCCAAAATTCAAAAACTTGTGTATTCTAGTTGATTTAAAAACTCATACCAATGACATCAGAGGTTAACCAAGTGTTTAAAACAGACCTGAACAAGTTCAAGGGTGAGGAAAAAGAGCAATACACCATGAGAAGAAACAAGAACCTTGGCTGTGTCAACAGGCAGAGGCTGTAGGCACATGCTGCAGGGAACCACACAACAGCAACCGTAAGACAAAGGACAGTTTGGAGATGTGCCCTCCATAAAAAACCCTAGTGGGTCTCATGTGACCCTGAACCACCAGAAAACACTCCAAAAGGTCAAGAAAGAAGCAGGTGTTGTTGAATACCCACTTACGACCTTGCTTCAATGTGTACATCTGCGTGTCTTTTTTATTATAGCTCCTTTTAGAAGGCCCTCATAGTACATGGAAATGATAAGAATAAGCATTCCAATACCCTGGAGAAGGAACACAGCCAGAGACTGTGACAAATGAATTTTACATCTTGTCCCACATACTTAGTGTTCTGCAAAGCTGTTTGAATATGCTGCTGGCTTATTTGCCAAGGAAAGTTGCCACAGCCAGAATAAAGTCCACCAAATTAGATCTCCTTCTACTCCCAACTGTAGAGGAGACAGATAAAATTATACTTCTAATTTTGTCTAAAAAAATTCTGTCTTTGTGGTCCAAATGGAATAGAAACTACCATCCCAATTCCACAGAAGATGTTTTATCAGATACTGTAACAACAGCAATTTTTAAATTGTCTTTCACACAGCACACTATGGTGCCAGTAAAACCCCAACACACTGTCTGGAAAGTTATCTACAAAAGATTCCAAATGACATTTTAACAGAGCGAAAAGTGTCTGAAGACAGTGTGTAGGTCAAACAAATCAACCAATTTAATTTCTTACTCTCTGCTACACTAACTGGTTCAACTACAGATGGCATGATGTTATCCACCTCCAAGTCAGTTTGCTGACTGGCTCCATCAAAAATTAATTGAAAGAACTGGATCCTATAATTTAAAATGAAATAGGCTCAGCAGGTGAGCAAGCTTTGTCAAGATTGATTACTGAGTATTGATTTCCCTCCAATTGTAGAAGTTACACTCCACAAGGCCACCTGCACATTAACCTAGAATACATAAAATCACCTCAGGCTAACATCTATCAAGAGGTTTGTGTTTTTGGAGGATGCAGTCTCTAGTTCTCTTCCTCACCTGTACATTCAATGGCTTTCATTTGGACAGCATCCACACTTCGAACTTTCTTCAACCTAAGTATTATTTATATTTTAACTTCTCAGAAAGAATTAGAGATAACTACTCAAGGAAAAAATCACATAAGCTAGCACTAAGCTAATTGTAAAAATTTTAAAGAAAACCAGATATGTTCTCCCATGACAGAAAAGAGATACTGATGCAGCAATAGCAGAGTAGCTTACTGTGGCCTGGAAGCTTCTGCTTGGTCTGTCTGGAGCTTTTCACCCCCTTCCACTTCCATGGTGCAGTAGACAATCCGATTGGGAGCAACTGACTTCAAACCTTGTACTTCCATTATAACAATCTGAGGAAAAGAGAGCAAATAGTTTATCCTTCAGAAAAAATTACACACCACAATTACTGCAGTACTAAGCTCTGTGCAGATTAAAAAAAATATTAAAAAATCCCCAAAATCCCAAAGTCCACTCACTCAAAAAGACAGAACAGAGTTTTGATTTTATCTTCTTTTTCCACTTTCAACAAATCTAAAAGGAAGTGAAATTTTTGCTCTGTTTCTACTTGGGCAGTGACCAAAAACTCACTCCAATCATAATTTAAATGCCAATAGCACAATTTGAGACTCTTGTCTGAACATAATTCTAAATCAATTACTGCAGTACTAAGCTCTGTGCAGATTAAAAAAAAATATTAAAAAATGCATGAGAAACTGTATCTTTTAATCAGACATCTAAGTGAATATTTATAGAACAAATAGGTTACTAAGTCTGATGGTAAACGAGTAAGTACATGGATCATATCTAGACAAGTAAATTATGGTGCTGTGTCTCTGGAGGTTATAACCCTTGAACCTCAGAAGGGATTTGGTGTTGTGCTGAGCAAGAGGCAGGTCAGAGCACTCGTATCAGCTCCTGTAAGTTTTTTCCCCACTATGCACATCCTTCTCCCAGTGCAGTACTTGCAGTTGGGTTCAGTATGCATATGGGCAAGAGGGAGAAGAGAAATAGAAAAAGCCACCACTACCAGCTGTGCCCTGCAAGTTTTCCTCACCAGGGAAATTTTCAGCTTGGCAGATCATGTAGATTTTCACCTTCTCAAGACTACTCTACACTAGCTCAGAAAAGCCAAATGCAGCTCTATTTTAAAAGCTCTCTGCCTTCTCTAAATCTTGTCACAGTGTGAAATTATTGGAATTTTTGCATTTCAGATGTTTCTAATTCAGAAGATTTGAGAACACAGTCAGGTTCCCCTGGTTTCTTTGGAAAAGTTGCTTTTCTTGCCAGGTCCCTTTGGGCCCATGCTAAGAAACTGGAAAAAATGTAGTCTATCAACAGAAGCTGACCTCAACCAAGCCTTACATGTACACCAACATTTGTTTAATTTATTTTAAAGCTGCCAGAAGCAATGACTACTTTTGGTCTTATTATAGTCAATAGGCTTCTTAGGTCAGCAAGCAACTACTAAAACATGTTGCTACTAAACTTCTTTGCAGGTGTGTCACTTTGCTCCAATTCTAGTAAATTAAACCAGACTTCACCCCCAGCTATAAAATCCTTATTTCTTTAAATCTCCCAGAATAATAGTAATAGACACATGTCTTGCAAAATTGCTAGTTTGTAAATATTACAGTGAGACCACAGTCATTGCTCATTTAGACCATTTTTATATTACCCATAAATAATCAACACTGCCTATTATGGTTCATAAATAATAACATCAATCTAGGGAGAATGATCAAGTCATCCCTCTTTTCCATCTATTATTCAGGAATTCAAGCACTTAGATAGCACTAAAGATCGTTCTAGGTAATACTGCCTATATGGTCTTTCTACATAGTAAACATTATGTCCTTGCTAAATACTGACTTCATGCTTACTCATTTTTATGTTGATAATTCTTTTCCTGAGTTTCCAACTTAACTGCACAGTACACTTGTCTTTGGTAACAATGCAGCACTGGAAAAAAGTTGCATTTCATTCCTTCCAAAGGAAACTGTCACTAGTGGATGTATTAGCTCATTAGCTGATAAACAACTTCCTAAATGCTTGTCTGCATTTGAAACTGTCTAACAGCTGAAGAATATAAGTAAGTCTTGTCCTACTACTATGGGGTTTTTGTAAATTTCTGGAAATATTGTTTGTTTTTTTTTTAAATTTCTGCAAATAGGATATTTACGGAAATATTCAAATTGTAAAAAAAAAGTGGCTGTTGCTTGCAGTGATGCTCAGGAATGTCTCTGACCTTAGTCAGTAAGGTCTACTCCCACTAGAACACTGTTAATATTACTAGCAAGTTCTACTATTTATAATAACAATGCACAGTGACAGGAAGAACCCTGGCCACTTTACCCTGCCTCTAGAAATTTTAGGATTCTTCCACTCTGTCCTACATGATGTAGACTTCCTGTTCATTCAGGTGCTAGTTCAGCAGCCCTCAGTGGGGATTCTGCTGGTTACCCTACAAATGAGTCCCCACACAAGATGTGACATAGATATGTTTATCTGTTATTCAAAACATGTGAAATCGTGTACATTTGACCTCACATTTTCAAAGAAGGAAGTACTCTGTCTTCTAGGAAATGCAATCAGCATTTCTTATTTGGCCATTTGCATAGAAAAAGATCATATCTTTCATATTTCAGTCTTCATTAATATCAATTCAACTGTTTCCTTTTGCCCTTATACCTTCTGTGATTTTGCTTCTCAAGAGCAAAAGATGCACACACTGTTTGGCAAGAGAGTCAACTTACATGGTAACTATCATGTCTCTGATGAAAACCTGCCCTACTAAAAAACTATCTCATGTAGAGTAATACTTTAATTCTTTGCCTTGCACGGGATGAACTGTGGATTAGTTATCTTGCAGCAAATCTCTTAATTGCTAATGGGGAAAAAGGCAAAAAAACCTTAGGTCACCAGACCTAACAGTCTACATATCTGGTGGAAGAGCGGAGGGGCTATAAATGAAGCAAACCTGCTATGAACGTACCAGAAATTATATCTCCTGTTTTTTTCATTTCATGATTGTTTCAAACTTTTACTGTGCTTTTGCCCTAAATATCACACTATTTCTAGCCCATAACAGCTGTCTCAAGAGGGACAGAGAAGGCTTTTCCTCCTCTTACATTTATCACCAAGCATACTTTCTTGAAGACCAGAAATATTATTGCCAAACTTTTTATGGTACTTTTTAGATTATTCAGAATTACTCTTGTAAATGCTATTTATGGACCTTTCCAGGCTTGGTATTCCCCTTGAGGCAGACATGGCACATGTGATGGAGGCATACAAGATTCAGTACAGGAGTTATAAATACTTCATCTTCTCATACACTTCAACACTAAAGACTGCACTCCAGTTTTACATGCTTGATGAACTAAAACTTTTTGGCACATAGAATGATGGATCTTACTACTCTCTGAAAGCTGATTGTTGGGCTTTTACATTATTAGTTAGCAATATTAAAATTGCATATATTGGGATAAGTAATTTCTCATTTATACAAAGAATTGAAACTTCTTCATTGTCCATATTTGATTTTTTTATTCTGTATCTTTAAGAATGACATGGCAAAAAATTGTCTGACTTTTCAACACGTGAAAAAAATCAGATGCTTGTTTCACTTGAGAAAAAAATATGTTACATTATTAGTTAGCAATATTAAAATTGCATATATTGGGATAAGTAATTTCTCATTTATACAAAGAATTGAAATTTCTTCATTGTCCATATTTGATGTTTTTTATTCCGTATCTTTAAGAATGACATGGGAAAAAATTGACTTTTCAACACATGAAAAAAATCAGATGCTCGTTTCACTTGAGAAAAAAATATTTAAAAGATAAACAATTTTTATTTCTTTTGAACTCTTTAACAATTGAAATATTCATTGTATAACATTACCTGCTGTCTTAAACAACCTAGAGGCACTTCAAGTGCATAATACAAGTACGGCACCTTCTGACCAACAAATACACCACACTGTGGTAATGTTTTGATTCTACTATTACGAAAGCAAGATAAGCATTTCTTGGTATGCACATTTGCAGAATTGGACCTGAGTTATGAGGCCAGGCTGAAGGGGGCTTTAATCCATCACATCTAGTGGAAGGTGACCATGACAGGGGCGCTGGAACTAGATGAACTTTAAGGTCCCTTCCAACCCAAACCATTCTATGATTCTATTCTGTCATCAGAATCGTTTAATAACCAAATGTATTTGTGGCTTCCTCTTCAAGTAAACTGAAATCTATACAGATTAGGATTGTACCCCTACAGGCCAGACTTCCTGCGTAATCTCAGAAAAAACAAGACAAGTTTTCCTCAAGATTCTTGAGGAAAATGCAGAAATTTATAAAAAAACTGCTATGATCACCAGTAAAGAAAAATCACTGTGTTTTATCTAAACGCTTCTAGTGAGAAAACTCTATTCATTTATAAAATTCCAGGAAGGCATTCCTGATAATAACAGTATTTCATTTTAACATTTAGAATTATACTTAGCTATTTAATAAATTGGAATTCATTTAAAGTTACATTTGTATGGGAGATTCAACTTCCCACACTATTGTGTGGGCCCAAATGCAACTACTGCTGCAAGAGGAAAATGCATCATCCAGCTGTATTCTAAATCCTAATTACCAAAGATACAGAGCATAATTAACTTCTTCAACATAACATTCTAAAAATATTAAGAAAGGACTAATAAAAAAAGTGTCAGGACAGGTATTCTAGCAATTTAAGCCATCAACGAGTTTTCTGTGAAATTTGCAATTACCTCTAATGTGAAGGAGAGAACCACATCAGACTTTGACAGCTGAACTTCATTTTCATCTCCTATGTCCAAGAATGCAGAATTCTGTGATCGCTTTAACTTCTGCAGTTTGAACTCTGGCCCACCTTTAGACACTGGCAGACTTTCCAAATTTGCCATCAGCAGATTCACTGAAGACCGCAACTCCTCTATGTACATGTTCTCCATTTCCCTTGTTACAAATTTTGGGAATTTTCTTTCCTTGGAAAATAAATTTTAAAGGTTAGGGTGAAAAAAAAATTCCCACATTATAGATCATATTAATTTACCAACTTGCTTTCAGTTAAGAGACAATAAATAAGAATATAAGTAATAATTTCAGTGTCTATCTATTTTTATGTCTTCAAAACAGTAATAGAAAGCAAATCCTTTCCCATAAACACAGAACAGTTAATTTTGGAAAGAAGAAATAAATTAAAATAGAACCTTGCACATGTCCCTGAATCATTTAGCCATAAACCCAAACTGAAGAACCACACATTAGGCATTTCTACTTACAGGTGTTTTAAGCATAGTAATTAATAATAGACCTTTAAGATTACCTTCAATATTTTATAAACTGGCATTTATAAAAGCACCTGTCCACTAGTAGTTTTGTTACTTCATCTATTTCCCATGCTACCAATAATAAGTCTATCATATTCATGCTTCTAATATAAAGCTAATAAACTACAACCACGACAAGAAATTCCTATCATTGTTTACCTTTATTTTTTATAATGGGTCATTCACTTTGAAAGTAACATTTACTTACAATGCATTGTTTTATTTTAAATAATAATCTTAATAATAATAATAAATAATTACTTTAAATAATAATCCCTTTCTTAAACATTACAGATAACTTAATAATCAATTTTTTCCTCTGTAGAAGTTAGACAATAGTATTTAAATATAGTGTTTATAACAATAATCACAAAGAAAAAACATATGTACTCATGTAGTGCATATATGAATCCATACAAAGCCGATTTTATGCACAGTTTCTCCAAATATTAAATACTGGATGCTTAGGAGAGTGTCATTCAAGATTAAACAAAAAATGTAAATTATTCTAAAATATATGTTTCACATATAAATGAAAAACAAACACCAATCCTAATATATTGTCTGCAAAGACAGGCATCTTGCTCCTAAACTGGACAATTTTTATCATTGTGTTATAAGGCCCATCATAAAATGTTTTATATTAAAAACTTTACAGTTGATTTTGTTTCAATAACAAAGACCAAGCAAGTCGACTGTGACCAAAAAGTCCTGCAGCAAGTTGAGTGGACTGGCTCATCCAGCATGACAGGGCCAATAAATGACATATTAAAAAAAACCCTAAAAATAAAAACAAGTAATTTATAGTCAGAGACTAAAAACACAGGCCAAGGCTCAGAGTTGTCTAGCAAAAAACCCCAAACCCTTAGCAGTGTTTTTCAAACTGTACTATATCCTGTGAGGATCATTCAAATAATAATATGCCCACACAGAAGACAAATAAAACAGACTTTTATTGTCTTCTTAAAATATCTTTCCACTTGCTAAGATGCTGTTACTATCCAGTGTAAGAAAAAAAAAGAGGAAAATTGAACTTGCTGTTGAACGACATGTCGGATCACACAGGATAGGCCTTTCCAAAACCAGGTTTTGCTTTCTCCCTAGCCCAGTTGTCAGACACTCTTCAGAGCAGAAAGAAATGCATCTGCCAGTCTGTTTTCAAACAATCTTCTGCTTCATTTTAGAATAAGAAATAGGAAACACACTTTATGGATCATGCTACTCAATCTCATATGAAGATACGTTTTTGGTGCAAGAAAGCAACCACTTACCCTTGCCATTTGTTCTGCCAGTTGCAGTCGTCCATCTAGTTCACGTCTTATCTGGGCTGCTTGCTCATCTCCATTATCCAACTTGGAAAGAGAACAAAAATAAATCCAACTGTGAGAAACGCATTACATTTTAAATTTATAGCAAGCCATCTAGCTAAAAAAACAAGAGAAATTAATTTTAATCTTAAAATTACTGAAACACTAAACAAATACACAGCTTTGAGGCTCGCAAGAGAAATTAATTTTAATCTTAAAATTAGTGAAACACTAAACAGCTTTGAGGCTCACCAAGATGAAAGAAATATAATGGCCACCATACAGTCAGAGCAGTCAGGGTTTCTGAAGGGTAACCAGTGCTCCCTTGAATTTTTAATACTCAGACTAAACAGAAAAGGTATGATTTATTTGTAAAAATAGCAGCTAAAATAATTTCTCCATGAATCAGAAAACTGGAATAACACATTGGCTTAGAAAATGTTTGCAAGGAAATTTATCCTTTGGTGCCATGAGTTCCTGTATAGGCATATATAGGTATATGGAATAAAACTGTGTGACTATGTCTCCTAAGAATAGTATTGTTTCACTCAAAAAGCTCCTTTCTCCCAGTATTGCCCAACTGCTCACACCAAGGTATGTCCAATTTGTGAACTTCCAATTTTCATACTTACAGAATAGTCAGGACTAAATGTCTGACTTCTGTCAGGGAGGCAAAGAGGAAGGACATATCTCTTTACATCAACAGAACAGCAGGTCTCAACAGGAATGAGACTGCCCAATCTAAATGTCTGACTTCTGTCAGGGAGGCAAAGAGGAAGGACATATCTCTTCACATCAACAGAACAGCTGGGTCTCAACAGGAATGAGACTGCCCAACGCATTTTTCACCTGTTTACGTTTTATGGGCAGCGGAGGGGAGGGGAGGTGAACTGGGGCTTCAGCTCAATGCATGGCCCTGCACAGCTGGTTAAGAGGAAAAAAGAGTGACACATCTCGCCATCTCACCTGAGTAATTGCCAAACAAGGACAAAGACAGCGTTGCCAGAGAGGGCTCTCTCTGTCCCTAGGGCTAAACACAAACATGCTGAATCAACTCTAGCACATTTAGTATATAGCTAAGGTTTAACGATACCTGAGTGGCTCTTAACTAAAAGAAAACTTAAAATGGACATGCTGAATCAACTCTAGCACATTTAGTATATAGCTAAGGTTTAACGATACCTTAACTAAAAGAAAACTTAAAATGACTAGTGATGCAAATTGGCATAAACTGGTCCTTTAATTAAATCAGATCTCCAGCTTATGAACATAAGCTAGTTTGGGAAATTATTCATTACATTAAACTAAAGTTTTTCAGTGTTTTTCTCACTAAGACTGCTACTCTGAGTGTATCACACCAACGTTGTAACACCACCTCCTTTACAATGCTTATTTAAATCCAATGCTTCTTAAACCAAAGCATTCAGGAAAATTAGGATTCCAAATAAAATAAAAAAGAAAAAAACCCTAAAAAAAACAATTAAAAATGCACTATCTAGTGCTTACAGGTCAATGTGCTTAATGCAAATCTGACCATATCTAGAAACAGGATGAAAAGTGTTTTCCTGCTAGTACAGAAGTGATACGGAACATGGAATCTGTCACCTGTGCAATCTGGCATCTTGCAAGATCCTTGGAGAAACTCAGCCAGGCTACCAGAAAGATAGAGAACAAAAGCTGATGGCATACCCAAAAGAGGCTCAAGTTCATACCAGAGAGTAGAAGATGGATCATGGCCCAGACTGGAAAGGTTCTCCCACTAAGCCTGTCAATAAATCTCCTCCTAACTTGAAGCCTACCTTGACTGTGAGCATAAACAACAAAACTGTTCTTCATGACAGAAAATGTTTTAAGTTTTCAGAATACAGTTATGGTATTCAAAAAATACAATACAGTTATTGCATTCAAAACTTTGTATTGAATACAATACAAAGTTTGTATTCTTCCATTTCTCAAAAGGAGAGACTTAATGAATTTACCACTGAGAATATTTCTACTTTTTTAATATTATACCACATAATTTTGTAATTATTTTTGTTTTCTCACTGTGAAAGCCTGTCCAATAAGTAAAACTAATTTGTTTTTCTTTTTTTTTGCTAAGAGGTCAAAATTATTTTAATAATATATGCCATGACAGGCAATTGCTTGAAAATATCTGCTTGAAAATAATTTCTATGACTGAATTTTGATTTCTGCAAAAAGAAGAGTGTAGGAGAATGGAATAAAGCTAAAACCTTTTCCTGTGTCAATACAACTTAAATGACTGCCTCCATTATTAATTCATTTGAAGAAGTAAGAGATTTTACTTAAAGACTAATATTTAGCTATTTTTCCATTGTAAAAAATGATCATTCAAGCTAATGAATATGTTAGCTAATTTTGAAAATCTTAGCATTTTTCTTAACTCTGCATTGCTTTTCATCATCTCTTTGTACTTGAGGGCTTAAAAGATGAGTTCCCTACTTACTTATTTTAAAACTTCAGTCTTTCTCCCAAAATACTTATAAATTCTAATGAGTTTGCTGCTTGTATGTAATGATGTTTTGTAAAGCATGGAAAGAAGCTGAAGAGGTGAAAAGCAAAGAAGTTTGCTTTACTTACATAAAAGAGCCAAGGTAATAATGACTGGTAGGTCATTCACATCTGTCCCAGTAAGAAGTAAAGCTGTTGATATTATTATTTTTGCAGTATGAAAAATGAAGTTATAATCAGAAAAACAGTAACCTTGATATCTCATTCCATGCAAGGTCATTTTGCTTGGTTTTATTCTAAACTCAAAAAACTACATGAAAAAAACAACTTTACAAGCAACGCACTGGAGTGATTATGAATGTGTACTCAATTATTATTTATCTACTGAATATGAAGTGAAAACATCAGTAAGATTGAGAAAATTCTGGAAATGTAAGAATTTGGAATTTCTGAGTTGTGTCCACTTTTTTACATAAGGAGACACTTGATAGGACCCATCACATGAGTGGGGAGAAGTGACAACCATTAACATCAAGTGTACCCTTTTCCTTAATTCCATATTTGAGGATCAGATCTAGACCCAAGACAGACATCTGTGGATATCAAGCTATTAAAACCCTTGGAGTAATTTTCAAACTTAAATAAAAACTAGAAAAGCATGACACTGCATAGAAATGAATATAAATGCAACAGTGCAGAACAACTACTCAGATTCTTCTCAGTATTGCAATTGAAATTTGGTTAAAAGAAACCATTGATTTGAAAGGATTTATAATAGAGGCTTTGTAAAAAATGGTTTTTTGGGGTTTTTTTTAAGAACAATTCACATTTACATGGACATCACACATAATGTTTTCTATTCTTAAATATAAAGTTTTTTTTTTTCAAAAATTGCAGCATTAGAGATTATTGAAAAATAGGGTATACAGAAATCCCATTTAATAAGAAACTTAGCTTGCTGCAACAATAAATGTACCATACCATAGCTATTCACTGATTTTATCAACACTAGAGATGCTTCCCTTTTCACTTAAACCTCACATAACCAGTTTGTATTTTAGCAGCAGGGAACCTCACTATAGAACACTCTACAGACACCAGAGACCTGTTTTCAGTAAATCAGGTACATCAGAAGTCCTGACTAAACAGACCAATGTTTGCCCTAAATGCCCCACATACAGTGTCAAAAACTTGTAAAACCTAGGCACAGACATTGACTCCCCTTTTGAGGGCTAGTTAATTCAGTTGGAACATTCTCAACTGAGCAAAAGCATGAGTAAGATAGGTTTTTGTTCTGCAAAGATGACAGTGATTTTTAAAGCTTCATCAGAAAAGTCAGCACTTATGAGTGACTACACTTGACTGCATAAAAAGTTACTTTGAAAAAGAAAGACAGATCGTCATCTCTTTTTTCCCCCCCAATGGTGTTAAATTAAAACAGCTTTCTAAAATAAGCTTACCACCATCACATATCAAACTATTAATTAAAAAATATTTTTATTCCTTAATGCTTGCAGTTGCCTTTATTTTTTCTCATTCTTAAAAGTACAATCATCTTTGCAGATAGAGTGGGAGCATGCTCAAAATGCAAGCTGCCCAACAATTCTTATTAAGAGGATTACAGCTGCTTATATAAGTGTCCACTTCTGAAAGACAGACTGAAGTTTTCTACTCCAAATTTCTGCTTTAAGGATTTCAGCCAAAACACTCCCTTGCTTTTGAAGAGACCATGCTAGACAACAGACAATACACTGCTTTATCAGTAATAAGAAAAGTGGTGACCATCTCGTCAAAGAGTTGAAGAGTACCTTGCTTTGAAGTAAGGATCTGACATTTAGCAGGATCCCAGCTGAGAAAATCAGCTCAACTCTGATCACATTATGAACCTTTGAAAAATCACTTCTGCAGTACTCAAGCTACAAACAGCCACTACCAGAGGCTAAATCAAACTGCATTCAGACACATCTTCAGGTTGTGCTGCCCTCTGTCTTGAATCTGCATGAAGTCAATGCGCCTCAGTTTATCTGCTCATTTAAGTAAGGCTGTAAACTTATCAGAGTTACAAATTACTATTCAGAAACATCATGCTATCTTACTTGACAAACTTGCTTAATTTGTATGCCTGAACACCACAGAACAGAAATACCTCTGAATAAATGAATGTTTCTATAGTTAAACAGGTCAGAAAAAGACAGCATACTTTGTGATTCCTATTGAAATATTTTTTTCTCTTTTAAAATTACTTACAAGGCTGTAATGTAGCAGTGTATTTTGGTCCAAAAGAAAAAATGTACACTAGAAAAAAAATCTGGTTAATGTGCAACTTAAGGTATAAAAGGTACTGATGCTGGCAGGAGATGCTGTACTAAAGCCCCAGCACACACCTACACTACCCTACACACGAAGTCAGATACCCTATGCCCAAGAAACAAGATCAGCTTGTGTATAGATGAATACAAAACTGCTGCAGGTTATTGTTCTTTACCTTCACAATGCTCAAACTGATAGGTCCTCCACGTGACTATTTTATTACTGCTGTGTTAGCTTCCGTGCAGCTTTCTAATTCACAGTAA